CCCCGGCCGGAGTTCCACTAGAACCGTGCCCACGGGACAGCCCTGAATTCATTCCAAACTAGGGCAGATGCTTTGAAAACCCCCCCTTCTTGCGTCAGAAGTGCCAGTGACCGAGAAGCCACCGCAACCCGTGGTAAAACGATTCCCTTGGTTTAACTGCTGGCGTTGCGTTCCACCTCAGAGGGGTCTGCATGCCAGGGATGCTGAAATGACTCGCCCGGAGTCTCTGTGAGGTGGGGTCCTTGACACTGTGGGTGGTGACAAGGAGCAGCTGTTCCCTCCGCTCTGCTTGCGTCAGAAGTGCCAGTGACCGAGAAGCCACCGCAACCCGTGGTAAAACGATTCCCTTGGTTTAACTGCTGGCGTTGCGTTCCACCTCAGAGGGGTCTGCATGCCAGGGATGCTGAAATGACTCGCCCGGAGTCTCTGTGAGGTGGGGTCCTTGACACTGTGGGTGGTGACAAGGAGCAGCTGTTCCCTCCGCTCTGAACCACACAAATATAAAACTCACACCACCCGGGCCTGATGACCTACCAGCAGAATGTCCATGTGCCCCTTTTCAGCCCCACCGGCACCCGGGGAGGGGAGAGAAAAGGCTGTCTCCCCCAGAAACTGACATCTGTGGCGACTCCCCAGCCCTACGCGACGCCAGCATACAACGTATGAACCCACCGTTCCTGCGCTGCTCCGCGGTGCTTGGGAAAAGCAAAGGTATCGTCCGAATACACTGATGCGGGAAAGCAGGAAGCGAAACGCTTCACTCTCCCCTGCAACAGGGTCCGGCTCAGTTGCTCCGCTTGGTCTGGTTCTGTTTTCTAGGCTTTCAGGAGGCCGGACCCCGCCCTGCCCGGCCCATCTCTTACCTCTGCGGAAAGCGAGTGCAGAATGCGGCGAAACCGGAGGGGTGGCACAGGCACAAGCTTAGCCCGGCAGCATGGCTAGCCACGGCGCAGGGGCAGGCAACGTGCTCAGTCAGTCCTTCCAGTTTTTGAAAAATGACCCCGCACCTCAAAATTCTTGCTCCAGACACTTGTGTCCGAGCGCGGGCCCACCGCCAAGCCCTGCCAACGGGGGCCTGGGAGTCTAAACAGTGCTTCTCCAAGAACAAGTGTGTGCAACAGAAGCTTGGCTCCTTTTCTTCCCGGGGATGCCCAGCATCGCATGTCTCGGTTAGCCCTGGACAGCGAGGCCCGGAGTGGAGAGAAGTCAAGTTCTCCCCTCCAGGCCCTCAGAGACTCTGCAGCCATTTTGCACGGCGTGGGAGAAAGGGCGACTGTGCACAACACAGAACTGGCCAGGAGGTGGCTGCAGAGGTTGTGTGTGGCAGGCCCGGCCACTCTGCCGTCGATTGAACACCCCCACTGCTGGCTTCTGACGATTTCACAACGGGCTGGCTGGGGCTGCCAGTCCAACAGACGACAAAAGGCGCCGCAGCTGTTTCTACAGAGCTTGCTTAGCAAACCCAAGCGTCCTGCTATGCGCGTATCCAGAACAGCCTTCCTTTCGATATACCGAGTGAGGGAACACAATCCCGTAGACAGTCCTGGGACTAGGACTGAGGCCGGGGTGGGCGATAAGACGGCGGCGGTTCACCAGAGTTAGCATGCGGGAGGCCGCCGCTGCGTTATTTTACCTGCGCCGCTGCACGTGCGGGCGACTGCAGGTCCCATTGGCTGTGCATTGTTCCCAGCCAATGGGAGCTGCAGGAAGTGACACGGACCAGGACACCGCTTCCCGCAGCTCCCATTGGCCGGGAACAGCGATCTGTGGCCAACGGGAGCTGCGAGCACATGTAACCGTGGAGACGCAGGTAAATACAGCGGCGGGGCGGCGCACCGGGGCCGAACCGCGTCCAGCCTACAGGTGGGTGACTACGCACTGCTGAGCTAGGCACATCCAAGTTCTAGTCTAACTTGAATTGATGGGTGACCTAGGTCCTTCACCAGGCTATGTCGGTTAGTACCTTAGGGTACTACACTAGTTCGAACGAGGGTGGCAGTGCAGACATACCCATAGGGATTAGCTACCTCACCGGGCCCGGCGAGGACTCGTTAACATTTGAACAGAAGCGTTCTGTGAATTGTTTCACACTTCTAATTACAGTAAGTGCATACCAGTCCCTGTGCCACCAGCCCTCCCCCGCCCCCCACCTTTCACTGGGCAGGAGCCAGAAAGCACCAGAGCCTCC